GGGATTTGGGGATTTTGGGGTGCCCCCACCCCCCCTGAGGCCGCCCCTCCCCCCAGGGGAGCCCCTGCTGCCCCCGGAGCCCCCGGGAGCGGCCAGTACGGACCAGTACGGACCAGTATAGACCAGTATGGACCAGTATAAACTCAAAAGCTCAATAAAACCCAGTAAAAACCAGTATAGACCAGTATGGACCAGTAAAAACTCAATAAAACCCAGTACAGACCAGTACGGACCAGTATAGACCAGTACGGACCAGTATGACCAGTATAAACCAGTAAAACTCAATAAAACCCAGTAAAAACCAGTACAGAACAGTACAGACCAGTACAGACCAGTATAAACCAGTATAGACCAGTACGGACCAGTATGGACCAGTGCGGACCAGTATAGATCAGTATGGACCAGTGTGGACCGCTATGGACCAGTATAGACCAGTAAAAACCCAATAAAACCCAGTAAAAACCAGTATAGACCAGTATGGACCAGTATAGACCAGTATAAACTCAATAAAACCAGTATAAACCAGTACGGACCAGTGCGGACCAGTATAGACCAGTATGGACCAGTGTGGACCGCTATGGACCAGTATAAACCAGTATAAACCAGTAAAAACCCAACAAAACCCAGTAAAAACCAGTACAGAACAGTACGGACCAGTACAGACCAGTATAGACCAGTATGGACCAGTACGGACCAGTATAACCAGTACAAACCATTATAAACCAGTATAGCCAGTGCAAACCAGCATGGATCAGTATGGACCAATATAAACCAATATGGACCAGTAAAAACCAGTACGGACCAGTATAAGCCAGTGAAGACCAGTATGGACCAGTACGGACCAGTATAAGCCAGTAAAGACCAATATGGACCAGTAAAAACCAGTACGGACCAGTATAGACCAGTATGGACCAGTAGGACCAGTATAAACCAGTAAAAGCTCAATAAAACCCAGTAAAAACCAGTACAGAACAGTATGGACCAGTACAAACCAGTACAACCCAGTAAAACTTATAAAAATTAGTACAAACCAGTACAACCAGTATAAACCAGTACAACCCAGTGCAGACCAGTACAAACTAGTATAAACTAGTACAACCCAGTATAAACTGGTACAAGCCAGCACAAACCAGTACAGACCAGTAAAACCAGTATAAACCAGTACAATCCAGTATAAACAGGTACAAACCAGCACAAACCAGTACAGACCAGTACAACCCAGTACAACCCACAGTACAGACCAGTAAAACCAGTATAAACCAGTACAATCCAGTATAAACAGGTACAAACCAGCACAAACCAGTACAGACCAGTACAAACCAGTACAACCCTGTAAGAGCCGCTAGACCGGGCTCGGGACTACATTACCCAGCGTGCACCGCGCGCGTTTCCGGGGGGAGGGGCGTGGCCCGCCTCTATGAGGCGCGGCCTGATTGGCGGCGGCGAAGGCGGGAAGGCGGAGAGGGCGTGGCCTCGTGAGGCGGAGGGGGCGTGGCCTCGTGAGGCGGCGCGGCCCGGGCGTTGCGAGGTCTGTGCTCTCACCTGTCCCAGGTCTGTGCTCTCACCTGTCCTAGGTGCAGGGACCAGTAAAAACCAGTACGGAATATCTGGCTCTTACCTGTCCCAGGTCTGTGCTCTCACCTGTCCCAGGTCTGGGCTCTCACCTGTCTCAGGTGAGGCTCTCACCTGCGGCCGTGTCCCCGCAGGTGCGGCCATGGCGGGCGCGGCGCCGCCCGCAGGTGGCCCCGAGCAGCCCTTCACCTGCCGGGAGTGCGGCAAATCCTTCCGCTGGTCCTCGCGCCTGGCGCACCACCTGCGCAGCCACACAGGTGAGCGCCCCTACAAGTGCCCCGAGTGCCCCAAGGCCTTCAAGGGCTCCTCCGCCCTCCTCTACCACCTGCGGGGCCACACAGGTGAGCGCCCCTACACCTGCGCCACCTGCGGCAAGGGCTTCAAGCGCTCCTCGCTGCTGCAGACGCACCTGCGCGTGCACACGGGGCTGCGCGCCTTCCGCTGCGCCCAGTGCGGCCTCACCTTCAAGTGGGCGTCGCACTACCAGTACCACCTGCGGCAGCACTCAGGTGAGCGGCCCTACCGCTGCCCCACCTGCCCCAAGGCCTTCAAGAACTCCTCCAGCCTGCGGCGGCACCGCCACACCCACACGGGTGAGCGGCCGCACACCTGCGCCACCTGCGGCAAGGGCTTCGCCCAGGCCGCCAACCTGCGGCAGCACCTGCGGGTGCACACGGGCGAGCGGCCGTACACCTGTGCTACCTGCGGGAAGAGCTTCACGCACTCGTCCAACCTGCACCTGCACCGGCGCACGCACTCGGCGGCGCGGCCCTTCCGCTGCCCTGCCTGTCCCAAGGCCTTCGTCATGGCCGCCTACCTGCAGCGGCACCTGCGCACGCACGGCCCCGCCCCGCGCCGCGCACCTGGCGCTGCCGCGCCTGCGCCGCCGCCGCCCCCTTCTGCTTACCTGCTGCTGCCCGTCCCTGGCGCCGCCTCGCCGCGCAAGGTGCTGCTGGTGCCCGGCCCCGCCCGGCCGCACCTGGCGCAGGTGGGCAGGGGGCAGCGCACCTGGCAGAGCGTGCTGCTCGTACCTGGCGCCGGGCAGGAGGGGGCGGGGCTGCGGCTGCAGGTGGCTGAGGTGGCAGGGGTGACAGGTGTGGCAGGTGTGACAGGTATAACAGGTGTGGCAGGTGTAGGTGTGGCAGGTGCAGGTGTGATGGGTGTGACAGGTATAAAAAGTGTGACAGGTGCAGGTGTGACAGGTGTCACAGGTGTGACAGGGGGAGGTGTACCAGGTGCAGGAGGTGTGACAGGTACAGGTGTGACAGGTGTCACAGGTGTGACAGGTACAGGTGTGACAGGTGTCACAGGTGTACCAGGTGCAGGTGTGACAGGTGTCACAGGTGTGACAGGTGTAGGTGTACCAGGTGCAGGTGTGACAGGTATAACAGGTGTGGCAGGTACGGGTGTGACAGGTGCAGGTGTGACAAGTTTGGCAGGTATAGGGGTGGCAGGTGTGACAGGTATAAGGGGTGTCACAGGGGTCGCAGGTGTTACAAGTGGAGGTGTGACAGGTGCGACAGGTGTAGGTGTCACAGGGGTCCCAGGTGTGACAGGTGTAGGTGTCACAGGGGTGACAGGTGTGACAGGTGCAGGTGTCACAGGGGTCACAGGTGTGACAGGTGTGACAAGTGCAGGTGTGACAGGTGTGACAGGTGCAGGTGTCACAGGGGTCACAGGTGTGGCAGGTGTCACAGGTGTCACAGGGGTCCCAGGTGTGACAGGTGCAGGTGACACAGGGGTCACAGGTGTGACAGGTGTAGGTGTCACAGGGGTCACAGGTGTGACAGGTGCAGGGGTCACAGGGGTCCCAGGTGTGACAGGTGCAGGTGTCACAGGGGTCACAGGTGTGGCAGGTGTCCAGTTCCAGGTGCTGCCGGTGGCCCCAGAGGTCACCAATGTCCAGGTGCAAGGTGGGGACCTGACAGGTGTGACAGGTGTAGGTGTGACCAGTATGACAGGTCTGTCAGGGGTCACAGGTGTAGGTGTGACAGGTGTGACCGGTGTGACAGGTGTGACAGGTGTGACAAGTGCAGGTGTGACAGGTGTGACAGGTGTGGCAGGTGTGACAGGTGTGACAAGTGCAGGTGTGACAGGTGCAGGTGTGACAGGTGTGGCAGGTGTGACAAGTACAGGTGTGACACGTGTAGGTGTGACAAGTGTGGCAGGTGTGGCAGGTGTGACAGGGGTGCGGCTCCAGGTGCTCCCAGTCCCCTCGGAGGTGACCAGTGTCCAGCTCCAGGTGCTGCCAGCCCCACCTGAGGTCACCAGTGTCCAGCTGCAGGCAGGTGAGGTCACCAACGTCCAGCTCCAGGTGCTGCCATCGCTACCTGAGGTCACCAACGTCCAGCTCCAGGTGCTGCCACCACCCTCAGGTGGCACAGGTGTGCAGCTCCGGGCAGGTGAGGTCACCAACGTCCAGCTCCAGGTGCTGCCACCACCCTCAGGTGGCACAGGTGTGCAGCTCCGGGCAGGTGAGGTCACCAACGTCCAGCTCCAGGCCCTGCCGCTGACCTCAGGTGTCACCAACGTCCAGCTCCAGGTGTTGCCACCGCCTGCGGGTGGCACAGGTGTCCAGCTCCAGGTGTTGCCAGCACCACCTGAGGTGACCAGTGTCCAGCTCCAGGCCACCGAGGTGCCCAGTGTCCACCTGGAGACCGCGGAGGTGACCGATGTCCACCTGGAGATCTCCGAGGTGCCAAGTGCCCACCTGGACATGTCAGAGGTGCTCAGTGTCCACCTGGAGACCACCGAGGTGCCCAGTGTCCACTTAGAGACCAATGACATGACCGATGCCCACCTGGAGACCTCAGAGGTGACTGATGCACACCTGGAGACCCCCGAGATGACCAATGCCCACCTGGAGACCTCAGAGGTGACCGATGCCCACCTGGAACCCATGGAGGTGGCCAATGCCCACCTGGACATGTCGGAGGTGCCCAGTGTCCGCCTGGAACCCACGGAGGTGCGCATTGTCCACCTGCAGACCTCAGAGGTGACCAATGCCCACCTGGACACCACCGAGGTGCCCAGTGTCCACCTGGAAACCACAGATGTTCCCAGTGTCCACCTGGACACCTCAAAGGTGCCCAGTGCTCACCTGAAAACCTCAGAGGTGACCGATGCCCACCTGGAGACCTCAGAGCTGCCCATTGTCCACCTGGAACCCACGGAGGTGCCCAGTGTCCACCTGGAGACCCCCGAGATGACCAATGCCCACCTGGACACCACTGAGGTGACCAGTGCCCACCTGCAGACCATGGAAGTGACCAGTGTCCACCTGGACACCTCAAAGGTGACCGATGTCCACCTGCAGACCATGGAGGTGCCCAGTGTCCACCTGGACACCTCAGAGGTGACCACTGTCCATCTGGACACCTCAGAACTGCCCATTGTCCACCTGGAACCCACGGAGGTGCCCAGTGTCCACCTGGACACTTCAGAGCTGCCCAGTGTCCACCTGGAGACCACCGAGGTGCCCACTGTCCACTTAGAGACGTCAGCGCTGCCCAGTGTCCACCTGGAGACCAATGAGGTGACCGGTGCCCACCTGAACACCACCGAGATGACCGATGCCCACCTGGACACCTCAGAGGTGACCAGTGTCCACCTGGAGACCACCGAGGTGACCACTGCCCACCTGGAGATGCCCAGTGCCCACCTGGAGATCTCAGAACTGCCCAGTGCCCACCTGGAGACATCAGAGGTGCCCTCTGACCACCTGGAGACCCCTGAGGAGGTGCCCGGTGCCCACCTGGACACCTTGGCCATGACCAGTGCCCACCTGGAGACCAATGAGGTGACCGGTGCCCACCTGAACACCACCGAGATGACCGATGCCCACCTGGACACCTTGGCCATGACCAGTGCCCACCTGGAGGTGCCCAGTGCCCACCTGGAATCCACAGAGGTGCACCTGGAACCCCCCTAGGAGGTGCCCGATGCCCACCTGGAGACCTTGGAGGTGCCCAGTGCCCACCTGGAGACCACACAGGTGCCCAGTGCCCACCTGGACGTGTCAGAGATACCCAGTGCCCACCTGGACACGCCTTGGAGGTGCCCAGTGCCCACCTGGAGGTGCCCAGTGCCCACCAGGACACACCTTGGAGGTGCCCAGTGCCCACCTGGAGCCCCCCAGGTGCTCCTGGCCCAGTGGGCCCTGTGCCCTGCCCCGTGCACACCTGTGCCCGCAGGTGAGGGGGGCCAGGGGGTACCTGAGGAGTACCTGAGGGGTACCTGCGCTCACCTGCCCAGGTGAGGGGTACCAGGGAGGTGCCCGGGGGTACCTGGGAGGTGCCCAGTGCCCACCTGGAGGTGCCCAGTGCCCACCTGGACACACCTTGGAGGTGCCCAGTGCCCACCTGGAGCCCCCCAGGTGCTCCTGGCCCAGTGGGCCCTGTGCCCTGCCCCGTGCACACCTGTGCCCGCAGGTGAGGGGGGCCAGGGGGTACCTGAGGAGTACCTGAGGGGTACCTGCGCTCACCTGCCCAGGTGAGGGGTACCAGGGAGGTGCCCGGGGGTACTTGAGTGTGCCCGGGGGTACCTGCGCTCACCTGCCCAGGTGAGGGGTACCTGAGGGGGTACCTGAGGGGTACCAGGGAGGTGCCCGGGGGTACCTGAGGGTGCCCGGGAGTACCAGGGGGTACCTGGGGGTACCTGCGGTCACCTGCCCAGGTGAGGGGTACCAGGGAGGTGCCCGGGGGTACTTGGGGGTACCTGAGCTCACCTGCCCAGGTGAGGGGTACCTGAGGGGTACCAGGGAGGTGCCCGGGGGTACCTGGGGGTACCTGGGGGTACCTGAGCTCACCTGCCCAGGTGAGGGGTACCTGGGGGTACCAGGGAGGTGCCCGGGGGTACCTGAGGGGTACCTGGGGTACCTGCGCTCACCTGCCCAGGTGAGGGTGCCAGGAGGTACCAGGGAGGTGCCCGGGGGTACTTGAGTGTGCCCGGGGGTACCTGCGCTCACCTGCCCAGGTGAGGGGTACCTGAGGGGGTACCTGAGGGGTACCAGGGAGGTGCCCGGGGGTACCTGAGGGGTACCTGGGGTACCTGCGCTCACCTGCCCAGGTGAGGGTGCCAGGAGGTACCAGGGAGGTGCCCGGGGGTACTTGAGTGTGCCCGGGGGTACCTGCGCTCACCTGCCCAGGTGAGGGGTACCTGAGGGGGTACCTGAGGGGTACCAGGGAGGAGGAGGGGGGGCACGGCCGAGGGGAGGGACCAATCGTGAAGGGGCGGGGCCAAGGGGAGTGGGCGGGGCTAAGGGGAGGGGGTTACTGGGAGTGGGGGCTGGGCAGTTTTATCTCCCAGTATGGCCCAGTATGGCCCCAGTGATTCCCAGTATGGCCCCAGTCCATCCCAGTATGGCCCCAGTGATTCCCAGTATGGCCCCAGTGACTCCCAGTGTGGCCCAGTCCATCCCAGTATGGCCCCAGTGACTCCCAGTATGGCCCCAGTGACTCCCAGTGTGGCCCAGTCCATCCCAGTACCGCCCCAGTCCATCCCAGTACGGCCCCAGTCCATCCCAGTATGGCCCCAGTGACTCCCAGTACAGCCCCGTGATTCCCAGTTCAGCCCCGTGATTCCCAGTTTGGCCCCAGTGACTCCCAGTATGGCCCAGTCCATCCCAGTATGGCCCCAGTCCATCCCAGTTTGGCCCCAGTGACTCCCAGTACAGCCCCAGTGATTCCCAGTATGGCCCAGTCCATCCCAGTACGGCCCCAGTGACTCCCAGTACGGCCCAGTCCATCCCAGTACGGCCCCAGTGACTCCCAGTACGGCCCCAGTCCATCCCAGTATGGGCCCAGTGATTCCCAGTACGGCCCCAGTGACTCCCAGTATGATCCCAGTGATTCCCAGTACAGCCCTGTGATTCCCAGTTTGGCCCCAGTGATTCCCAGTATCCCCCAGTACGGCACCAGTATCCACCAATATTGCCCCAGTATGGCCCCAGTCCATCCCAGTCCCCTCCCAGTCGCTCCCAGTCCCTCCCAGTTCCCCTCCCCCCCGGTTATTTCGGGCCCCCCGCACCTGTCCCTGGCCCTGCCCCTCCCCCACCGGGACTGGGGGGAACTGGGAGGGACTGGGGGGAACTGGGAGAGACTGGGGGGAACTGGGAGGGACTGGGGGCAACTGGGAGGGACTGGGAGCACTGAACTGGTCTGTACTGGCCCATACTGGTTTATACTGGTCCCTACTGGTCCATGCTGGTCCATGCCAGTTTATACTGGTCCATACTGGCCCATACTGGTCCGTACTGGTCCATACTGGTTCGTACTACTCCATACTGGCCCATACTGGTCCGTACTGGTTTATACTGGCCCATACTGGTTTATACTGGCCCATACTGGTCCATACTGGTTTATACTGGTCTATACTGGCCCATACTGGCCCATACTGGTTTATACTGGCCCATACTGGTTTATACTGGCCCATACTGGTTTATACTGGTCTATACTGGCCCATACTGGTTTATACTGGTCTATACTGGCCCATACTGGTTTATACTGGTCTATACTGGCCCATACTGGTTTATACTGGTCTATACTGGCCCATACTGGCCCATACTGGTTTATACTGGCCCATACTGGCCCATACTGGCCCATACTGGTTTATACTGGCCCATACTGGCCCATAATGGCCCATGCTGGTTTATACTGGCCCATACTGGCCCATACTGGCCCATACTGGCCCATACTGGTCTGTACTGGTCCGTACTGGGAGCTCGGCTCTCTCCCCGCTCTGACCCGGGAGGAATTCGGGGCCGCCCCTCCCCCCCCGGCCACCTGTGGCTGCGCTAATTAGCGGTGATTAATTACCGCGGCTTGGTGAGCGGGGAGTGATTAATGACCGGGAGCGGTGATTAATGAGCGGCATTGATTACCGCGGGTGATTAATGAGCGGCATTGATTACCGCGGGTGATTAATGAGCGGCATTGATTACCGCGGGTGATTAATTACCAGGAGGAATGATTAATGAGCGCCAGGAATGATTAATTACCGGGACGAAGTCTTAATTCCCAGGGAATTCTTAATTCCCAGGGAATGATTAATTACCAGGGAATGATTAATTACTAGGATGAATGCTTAATTACCAGGGAGTGATTAATTACCAGTGAATGATTTGAGCACTGAACTGGGATGGACTGGGATGAACTGGGGCACTGAACTGGGATGGACTGGGATGGACTGGGAGAACTGAACTGGGCTGTACTGGGAGCACTGAACTGGGCTGGACTAGACTGGGCTGGACTGGGAGCGCTGGGGTGAACTGGGATGGACTGGGGGCACTGAACTGGGAGCACTGGGATGGACTGGACTGGGAGTACTGGGAGCACTGAACTGGGATAGACTGGGATGGATTGAACTGGGCTGAACTGGGAGAACTGGGCTGAACTGGGAGCACTGAACTGGGATGGACTGGGCTGGACTGGGATGGACTGGGAGCACTGAACTGGGAGCACTGGGATGGACTGGGAGGGACTGGGCTGGACTGGGCTGCACTGGGAGCACTGAACTGGGAGCTCTGGGATGGACTGGGAGGGACTGGGATGGACTGGGCTGGACTGGGATGAACTGGGAGCTCTGGGCTGGACTGGGCTGAGTTATCAATTACTGGGTGTGATTGATTACCATGGAATTATTGATTACCTTGGAATGATTGATTACGGGGCAGTGATTAATTACCACAGAATGATTAATTAGCATGAATCATTAATAACCATGAATTGTTATTGACCAAGGTGACTAATGACCTTAGGGGGTTAATTAGCAGGAATGATTAATGACCGGGGATTTTAATGACCAGGAATGATTAATGAGCGGGGCTGCAGGAGGAGTTAATTAGCAGCAGGGATTAATTACCAGGAATGATTAATGAGCGGGGCTGCCGCAGGGGTTAATTAGCGGGGATGATTAATGACGGGGATGATTAATGACCGGGATTATTAATGACAGGGATGATTAATGACGGGGATGCCACAGGGGTTAATTAGCGGGGATGATTAATGACGGGGATGATTAATGACGGGGATGATTAATGACGGGGATGATTAATGACGGGGATGATTAATGACCGGGATGATTAATGACAGGGATGATTAATGACGGGGATGCCACAGGGGTTAATTAGCGGGGATGATTAATGACGGGGATGATTAATGACGGGGATGATTAATGACGGGGATGATTAATGACGGGGATGATTAATGACCGGGGCTGCCGCAGGGGTTAATTAGCGGGAATGATTAATGACGGGGCTGATTAATGACGGGGATGATTAATGACGGGGATGATTAATGAGCGGGGCTGCCGCAGGGGTTAATTAGCGGGAATGATTAATGACGGGGCTGATTAATGACGGGGATGATTAATGACGGGGATGATTAATGACCGGGCTGCCGCAGGGGTTAATTAGCGGCAGGGATTAATA